TCCTTATAGTGGGAAATGTTATTTTTAATAATTACCGCAATTCCTCCTCTTGCTGCATTTGATGGATGGATAGTGTGATAGAAGTTATAGCCTCTGAATTTAATGTATGGCTCTGTTGTAAGGTGGGTCTCAAAAATCAGACATATATCTATTTTTTGTACGTCCAAGAAAACTTGGATATCAGTTTGTTTTTGTAGAATACCATTGGCATTCCAAGTGGCTATTCCAATATCTTTTTTGTCCATTGGTGGTTTTGTTATATGTTTGGGGTTTGTTTAATTCTTCTAGCTTCTGGGGCCTGTCAGAGAGTGAATCTATTCTGGTTATTTAGTATAATAATAATGCATGAGTAGTACTTTCCGCTAAGCTGGTTGACTGTGCAGTATGCTGTGCAATTTGTGGCGTGGGATTAATGGCTGGTTGTGACCTTAGAATTGGTTGCTGCTGTGAGTTTGTTACCTGAAAATATGTTATTTCATTTCTGACAGTAGGAAAAGCGTTTATGGATCTCTTCTGCCTCGTTATTATTTTAGGTTTAGTGGTGTTATCCTTCCTTATCTGAAAGGTTTTAGCTACCTCACATCCTCTGTAGTTAGCAGGATATTCCATTAGGCAGTTTATACACTTCGGTTGTTGTTCTGGACTTTTTATACAATCCTTCGTATGATGTTTTCCTATACACTTTACGCATCTTGATTCTCTTTTGCAAAATTTGTGCGTATGTCTAAATAGCTGGCAGTTTTTGCATTGCGGTGCCAGTTTTGACTTTCTTATGGTTTCTATTCTAACTCTTAGATTGCTTTGATTTCGTAGACTTTCTTAATATCTTCAATATTTTCTTGTGAATAGCGGCAATGGTTTTTTATTTAGTTTACGAGTGTTACATTTAATGAAGATATTTAGGTACCGCTCAAAATTTATTTTTATCTAAGAAGTGTAGTGTGGAAAATTAGGATAGAAATACCAGCTTTGGTGCGAAAATATGAAATGTGGTGCTCGATGTGATATGTATGAGATGCGAGACACGAAAGAAAACTTAAGCTTTTTTTTTTAGTTTAATATTAACTTTTTCATAAGTTTTTATATTTTCTAGAACATTTTATTTTTTCTAATACCCTGCTATAAGGAGTTATCCTCCTTTTCAGACTTTCTATTTATAACGTCAATGGTGTGGCTTGTCTTGAACTCCATTGGTGAGACCCTTGGCGGGGTTGTATAAAAGTATCAGGAACTGTTTTACCATATTACTACATGGAGTGGAGTTCAGTGAAATTTGCGCACACTTCGGCGAATAATTAAATTGTTAGATTCTAATATATGACAAGGCCGACCTTAGTATCTTTAGTGTTTAAATTGTATTTTTCTTTTGATAAAAGCTCAATATTTCTGATATTTAGCCGTCATTATTAATACTTTTTATTTGGCACACCTATGAAAGCTAGAGAGAAGGAGGCGAATCGGCAATGGTCAAATTTCAAATTTCCGTGCTTCTTTTTATAAAGTTCGCGAAATTGACTGTAGTTGGCATGTCGAATGACAGCGGTGTCAATTTTCTATGTAAGTCAATGTAAAATGAAGAGATTTTTTTAAAAATTGGTGAAAATCAAAATAATGTGAAAAGAACTACCTGAGTACAAGTAACATGAGTGACAAAAAAACATCAAAGCAAGATTTGCGTCGTTCCAGATTGTAAAACAGGATAGGGACCGTGCGTGAAACATAGAGGAAGCACTACTGCCGAACTTAGCCCTCTCTAGTGTTCAATTTTAGAATTAAATGGGGTAAACATTGCAAGTAAAAATAAAGGATATTTTTTTAAAATATTAAATATAGTTAAATATAGATACAGGCCCGTAACAAACAATCGTTTACATGCTCAAAATGATATAAAATGTGAAAAATTATTAAAATCTGGACATGTATATACATTTTAAGCAAAAAGATTTAAATGGTTAAGTGACAATAAATTGTAAAGTTGTACCTCAAGCAAGTGTATCCAATGTCAAAATATCGGTATTTAGTAACACTGAATTTAAAAGTATCACAATAACATTTTAAAAATGTAAATTAATAAAAAAGATTGAGAATAATAATAATTCTTTATGTTAGTAGAAATGTCATTCATCCACCTTAGACGTTTATGAGACACCCAATGCTATACATAATTATACAGATTGCTCACTCATCTATAAAAAAGATTACGAAAAGCGGGTTGCAATGTGCACTGCTATATCGTCGGCTTAATATGAAAAGTGCATAAGTCCAAATTTTTAGATTTTGCGATTTTGGCTGAATCTGGTTCACCGCTGCTAAAGCTACAGAAATATATTCTTAGTTTACGAAAATTGTCACTAGATTTTACTAAAAACACTATATAAAGCTTGTAATAATAACGTAAAAATAAGTACAAGTGACTCAAAGTTATATTAAATCGATTACACTTCAACAAATATTGATCTGTAACCATGTTTAAATTTTGAATGGAGTTGTGCAATTTTCATAATAATATAATTTTTATTTAACTATAAATTTTAAATAAGCCGTAAATTCGTTTTTTGTCTCTCCTGTAAAATTGTTTGTTTTGGACTTATGCAATTTTCATATTAAGCCGACGATATTGCCTTTCCTAGTGCCCACGAAATAGGGCGTTTTAGCCCAAATGTGTTTTAAAATAAAATTTCAGCGTTTTATTCTTTAGAAAAAGAAAATAATTACTTAATTCAAGACACGTTATGTATTTTGAGAGTTGAGTTTCCATGTAGTTAAATAATATTAAGAGATCTAAACAATTTTTATAAGGATGGATGTAAATAATTTTAGACCACTCTCATTTCAGAAATAACACTTTATAAAACACATAATTGCAATTGTAATACAACTTTGTAAGGGTAATGTAAACAACTTTAATATGAGATATAAACAACTTTTGTAAGAGTTGTAATTGGACACTTATCTATTATTCTGAGTAATGTTTAATACTAATGTTACTAAAAATTTTACAGAAAATCACTGCATTTTTAATATTTTAACATTTGTTGCAATCTCTTTTGACAGTAATTGCAATGTATTAATTATGATTTGTTTATTTTAGGGATAAATGAGAAAGTTAACAAATTGTATGATATGTTTGTCAAATTGGACATTCTAATTTCACAGTAACATTCTATATATTAGTTTTAATTAACAGAATAAACCATTAATTATCTGTAAAATTATATTTATATAAAATGTTCATTTAAATATGTAAAAATCTTAATGATAAAAAACACTAAAGATTCTAATTTCATAAACCGGTTCTGTAAATGATTTGTTTACAACTAAGTGGTCAAAATTGATACAAGATAGATACATATGGATAAGCAATCTATGTAATTATGTATATCGTTGGGTGTGAGACACGAAGTGGGCTTATAAAATTTCTTTACTACCGAATCAAATCCAGGTTTCCAAAGCGATATGTTTGTACATCCACGGATGCAACAAGTTTTTTCGATAATGATATTACGAATATAATTCGATTTTATTTAATTAATAATTACTAAACAATAAGTGCCGTATAGAACATTAATAAATCTCCCCCAAAAAGTGCACATTTTTGTCACCAGTTGGCGTTAAAGTCATGACGCACGGTCCCTATAAAAATCAAATGTAAAACTAAAGAAAACACAAGAAAAAATCAATTTAATGTCTTTAAAGCTTCTAATGTAAGTAAAATAATGTATTCATGTCTAAACATAATATTTATTGTAAACTATTCACAATATGTATCTCACAAAGTGTAGTTTATTTTATTACAAGTTTCTATAATATAAAATTTTACAGTCATAGATGCTGACTTACAAACAACAATATTTATGCATTAAATTTAACTAACTAGAAAAGAAAATTTATTTTTTATAGAGTTTTAATGTTAGATAAAGAGTTACTACTGTTATTTTTTTTTTAACCCCAATTGTGTCATTATAAATGTTTTTTATAGGATACTAAACGTTTAGAACAGTGGCAGCATTAATATCGTTCCTAGTGCCGATGAACCACTTTCTAGAGATGATGCTATTCTATACTTTTTAGAAGATATTATCAAATATTATGAGACTATTTTTACTGATGGTACTGTTAGCAAAATAAAAAGGGGAAAGCTGAAATTAAAGGATGAGGTAATACCATGTACATTCCAAAATCCCCCTTAATACATGTATTACAGCAATAAAAAATCTGTTAACTGTGTTTTATTTTACTCTTATATATTATATATTAGTTTATTAAAAAAAAAAATTTGCCACAAAATTGTACTTATCAAATTTCAGCATTTAAGGAACCTTTTCGAATTGGGTCATAGATACCTTATTTGTATTTTATATAGATATAGATTATCAATTAAAACATGCAAGGCTTATTTAGAAATAAATACAACAGTATGCTCTGTGCTTTATTTAGCTATAAACAAGTTTATTTTTATTATTTTGACAAAATTATGTATAATTCCCATAAAAAGCCATGTATTTTGAACACCGTATGCAGTACCAGCGCACATGCGATTAATTATAGAAGCTCAATTAGCATGCGTTTTTTGGGACCGCCGTATTTTGAGTATGTTGATTCGCCTCCTTATCTCTAGTCTTCATAGGTACACCATTCGCTAGCGACCTGTAGAGGATTTTTTTAGAACTATGCGCAGATGTTAGTCATATGTTTCAAAGAGTTGAAGTTTACTAATATTAATAATAAATACCTGCAAAATATTCAATTCCACGAAAAACTTGCATTTAGCGTTCACTAGTCTTTTGAGAAAAAATGTGATATCCTGAACTACGTTTGGATGCGATTTGCGCGGCGTTGCCAAAGCTAAAATAATGTAATTGTATTCCATTTCCATTTTAGAAACATATTCCATATTTGGCTCTGGAGATATTTTCAATCCTCTTAAAAACGATTTTTCATCATCACTTTAAATATTAAATAATTTAAAAAAGACTGATTGCAAAATATCTTATTTCCAGATTATAACAAATACTACGAATAGTAATCAGCAAGAAGAACAAGAAGAAGACAAATTTTCAATAACAGTGGAAAATCTTCAAAATGAAATTATTGATTATTTAAAAAAACCGAATCACAATTTCTTTACAACCTACTTTAGTTACTTATTTAACAATACAAATGTCACTATAAACAACGCATCTGATCTTATTTATGTCACCAAAGGAGATGTGAATTACTTGAAGAGAATCATGGACTACTTAGCTGAATTACCAGACATCAATATTGAACTGTATATGTGGTGGAGCACCGTTTCTGCAATGATGTTTAATACTTCAAGTGATATTGCGAGCTACATATTAAAACAAGTTAGTGCGTTTTCTGGTAACTATACAAGTATTGTATCTCAACCAAGGTAAGTAGAACAAAATAAAAATTATTTAATACTCTGTAAGAAAATTTACAGTGAATTTACTATTAAAAATCTCATTAAATGGTTCATGACATTATACATAATAAATATTTATGTCTATATCAAGATTTAGTTTTAAATCATGCATTTGCTGTTTATTTTGGTATTAGATAAAATTGAAGCGTACTTAACCAGTTTTCCACTAAAACTACTAATTCTACTCTAAATGCAGCAAAGTATGCAAAATAAGATGGATTTAGAAATTTTGATATTTCTTATCCGTTCTGTAATATGTAATCTGTAACGTGTGGAGGGTGGGTTACCCCCACGGCACTTAGGCCTCATTAGGCCCATTGTGCATCCTCCTGAGATGATAGGCACCTCCTAGCTCGTGAGCCAGTTTACAGAGTTAATGTAGTTGACAACATCGTCAAGAGGTGCTTCTCTTATATCGGCCGGTGTTAGCCGATACTCGCCGAACACAAATCTAATAAATGAGAGCGTCGAGCAATCGTAAAGGATATGCTCGATGGTCTCATCTTCATGTTCGCACCCTCTGCAGAGTGCGGATTTTGACAGCCCCATGATATGGAGATGCTTTCGCACTTGGCAATGACCAGTCAGAATGCCTGAGACTAGGTGCAGATTCTGTCTAGTCATAGTCAAGTATTTGTTTGCTGTAGCATTGTCAGAATAACTTAAGAGTTCCCTGGCAACTCTGCAGTTTCTTGTTTCATCCTATCTTTTCTTGAATTTCACAAGGGAATGTTCTTTGATTAGGTCTGTCACTACCGATTTTGTCAGGCCAATAGAAGGGCCAGGTCCAAAAAGTATTTGGTTGGCTGTTTTCTTGGCTAGTGAATCAGCAAGACGGTTACCTTTCGATGTGGCCTGACCTTTAATCCATCTTAAGGTGACCACATTGTTGATGGATACTTCGGCCAAAGCTTAGTGACATTCTAGTACTAACCCTGAATAAATTCGTTTCTTTCTTATCCGTTTCCCTGAGTTTAAACGTATTTTTCCAAAAACAGCTCATCCGGTCCTTATTCAACAAACTATATTATTTTGATTTTATTCCATATAAACTCAAAACAGAAATCTTGGCTCAACAGAGAGTGTCACGCTGCTCCGAAATTCAAGATCCCCACTGAAGGTAAATTTTACGTCAGAGACTAGAAATCAGTCAATGCAGCTAAAGGTGCCTCTATATTATTATTGGTAAACACGTAAACCCGACTTTTCCAGCTCTTTTTCCCTACTCATCACCGATGCCAAAATATCAGCAAATTCAACTTTAAATATACCACCTAATACTCATCTCCCATCCTTCCTTAGACATAAAAAAAATAAAAACTGGCAGATAATTAAAAATATCTTTCAATTTTTAATTTCTTTCCAATCCATTTGTACTTTATAACTTTAATTACTATTGTTCTATAGTTTGAATGTGCCTAGATTCAATTTACCCTTTTAGTTTTTACTACCAGTTTTCCTATTTTTTAGTTTTACGGTTGGTTTAAATTTTTACTTTCCTATCTGTATACAGATAAGGAAAGTATAGGATAGGAATCGTGAATTTTTCGACCTCAAGTTTTGAGTCCCCTGTATCTGTTTTGACTATTTTCGCAATGATGTCTGTGTGGGTGTCTGTACCTATACTGGATAACGAATGAACAAATACAGAGAAAAACACCAAATTTTAAACTTAGGCTTTAATCCATTCTGCGGTGAGCTAATTAGATTTTGGGCATAGTCTGAACATCTGGGGGGGGGTACTTTATAAGGGGTCGTTCTACATTATGTAATATATATGGTTTTTATGCGTGGAAACGATTTTTAAATAAAAGTTGCATGTAATATTACTTTTTATAATTCTTTCCCTATACAGGGTGTCCCAATAGTGTGTGGAAGTTCGATATATCCTATATTATCGAAAATATTGTAGCACCTTGCAAGCACTACATACTAACTCCAACTCATAATATATTGATACATGTCACACCCATGCCACACATATCAATATTACCTATTAAGGCAGCTTAGTGGGAGGCAGGATTTAAGTGCACCCTATCTATCTACTTGACGACCTCGGTTGCCAAGCATTAATATTTATTAAAAAAAGAAATGTCATATATATAATTTTCTGTCATGACAGAATTGTCTATTTTATTATATTAATATATACCTTTTACAAACCGCTATATTATTTATAACATGGGATCTCCAAAGCTTAAAAGATCTCATAAATATCAACCAATGTTATTTACAAAAGTTATAGATAATATTAATCTGCACATTTCAAAATTATTTTCGATTATACAGAGTGATCCATAGCTTCAGAATTGTCAAACCTATGTTTTTTAAATGGACTACCCTGTATTTAATTGTAAATTTGAATTCCCCTGACTTTGCCCTTCAAGAAAATACCAATATGTCTGAGGTTGTACTAGGTATTTAGGAAGTTTAAACCAATTTTATATGAAAATCGTACTAGGTTCAACCCTCTGTATATTTCAAAAGAAACAATCGAACATCAAAATTTTTTGATAAATCATTTTTAATGATAGTCTACTTTTATAAGAATATACTAATTTTTTCACAGCGCAACAGACGTGTACAGAGTCAAAACTCAGATACATGATTTTCTCAATTTTTTTAAATGTAACACCCTTTATTTCATATCACTGCTAAAAAGTACTATAATTATACGTTCGTTTGAGTTAAATATTGCCTATCCCTAAACACAACAGTTTAGCGAGATTCTTAGATGAAATGTTAAAAAGGGTTACTTATAACTAAATTCACAATGTAATTTGATTTAAAATCTTGTTAAAATATACTGTTTAATCAGTTTATATTTTTAAGGTACCTAGCTACAATTTATTATCAATTGAATTTACTTTCTCTACTTTTAAGGTTAGGTTCACCCTGTATTTCATATCTCTACTAAAAGTACTTTAATTATACGTTCGTTTGTCCCTATCCCTAAACACAACAGTTTAGAAGATATTTTATATTTGAATGAAAAACATATGAGCCAAAAATAAGTTATTTTATTTTTTTTAGAATGCAACATTAGTATATTAAAATATAAAAAAAGCTATTATAAAAGCTGCTCAAAGTGACTCCCTCCAACTGCAATACAATGTTGTAATCTAGCTTCAAATGATCTTTGAACATTTTTCAAACATTGTACATCTATGCTCGCGAACACTTGTCTTATTCTTTCCTTCATTTCCTCGCTAGTTAATGGACTAGTTTTATAAACCTCGTTTTTTACGAAACCCCACAAAAAAATCTACTTTAGTGAGGTCAGGGGACCTGGGAGGCCACATAACTGGACCATCTCTTCCAATCCACCTGTTTTCAAAATTATGGTTCAGAAAGTTGCGAACTGGTTGAGCATGATGTACAGAAGCTTCATCATGTAATATCCACATTTGGCGTCTTATAGTTAGTGAAACATTTTCCAATAGTAGTGTTAGATGATTCGTCAGAAAGTTTAAGTAGACCTCGGCAGTTCACGACCATGAAAGAAATGTGGTCCTATGACATAGTCCCCTAATATACCACCCCAAACGTTAATAATCCAACGTGTTTGGCTATAACTCATAAGGATTGGTGATGGAATAGTAATAAAAATTGTGTCTATTGACGAAACCGTTTTTGTGAAATGTTGATTCATTCTCAAAATAGTACATAATCAAAAAAATTATTTTCATTATTCAAGCTCTCTATTGCCCATTCATAAAAAGCTGTTCTTTTTTGAAAATCGTTTTTAAGAAGCTCCTGATGACGTTGAATATGTACTTTATTACTTTCCTATCTGTATACAGACAAGGAAAGTATAGGAATCATGATTTTTTTCGACCTCCAGTTTTCGACGTATTTTTACGTTTTGGGGTACCCTGAACCTGTTTCGACTATTTTCGCGATGATGTCTGTGTATCTGTGTGTCTGTGTATCTGTGTGTCTGTGTGTGTGTGTCTGTATTCACCATAACTCATGAACCGATACAAAGAAAAACACCAAATTTTAAACTTAAGCTTTATTCCGGCGTCCAATGAACTGATTAAATTTTGGACAGAGTCGGAACATCTGGGGGGGGGGGGTTCTTTATAGGTGGTCATTTTTATATTTTAGGGAATATATCTGTTATTTACGTTTGAAGAAGAAAATTCTTCAAATAAAAGTTACTTATCAATTTTTTTTGTTCTATACAAAATTTTTCTAAAATGGTCTGTATTCGATAAATTTAACAAAATGTAAAAAAAAATATTTTTTATAAAAATTGTTCAAATAAAAGTTGTTTGTAATATAATTCTCTATAATTTTTATCGTATGCATAATTTCTCTAAAATGGACCGTATTCGAGATATTTGAGAAAATGTTTAAATTTCGAGATATTTGAGAAAATGTGTAAATTTCGAATTTTGAAGAAAACTCAAAAACGGAATAAGGAAAAAACATTAAATTTTAAACTTAGGTTTTATTCCGGCCTGAGGTGAACTGATTGAATTTTGGGCAGAGTCGGTACATCTGGGGGGATTACTTTATGAGTGGTCAATTTTATATATTATAAAATAAATCTGTTACGTTTGGAGAAGAAAATTCTTTAAATAAAAGTTACTTCTAATATTATTCTCTATAATTTTTGTTGCATACAAAATTATCCTAAAAAGGTCCCTATTCGAGAATTTTTACAAAATATAAAAAAATTCGGATTTTTAAGAAAATTGTTAAACTAAAAGATGTTTGCGATATCGATCTCTATAATTTTTGTTTTTTACATGATTTCTCTAAAATGGACCGTAATGGAAAAAATTGGAGGAAAAGTATAAAATTAAATTTTTTAGCGATTTCGTTGGCAATGAGTGTATATAGAAAAATGTTTTGAGTTAGATTTATGTGGAAAATGTATATATTAAGTTAACCTCTAAATATTTACAGAGGTGCGTGCTGCAATAGGTTGTACAAAATAACCGGAAAAAACCTGTAATAACTAGATAGGAAAGTCATGTGTTGGACACATCACATTTTTAAATATTATACATTTGATGGACCTATTCCTCAACCTTATATCCCGCCTATGGCTTTACTTTACATTTTTTTATCCTTTTTATCCAAAACCCGTACCAAATGCGATTTTCGATAAGAAGGACAGACGGGTACAAGAACGAACAGAATAACGACGAAAGTGGGTACTTATCAAGTACTTACGCATCTAACACCGTTTAAACAGTTTGTTTTACAAGTGCAGACATGTCTTTCAAAAGTGATCCCCCTTTGTAAGTCAAATATCAAATAAATAATTTAATCAGTACAATACATTGATATTGAATTTTTTAACAACTAATTAAGCGCCACGCGGCTTAGCTTCTCCACTATTAAATCACAGTCCATTTTAAATTTATCAACGTACTACCTTTCTCCATTTCGATATATAAAAACATATTTCAAGTAAGATGTATGTGGAAAATGTACGTATTTAGTTCATCCTCTAAACATTTAAAGGGGTGGATCCATAGGTTGTACAAAATAACCGGAAAAGCCTCTAATAACTCTAGACAGGAAAGTAATGCGTTGGACACATCAAATTGTTTGAATGATTAATGTTCAAATATTGTATTGTGTCCCCTACCCTATAAGCTTGCTCATGTAAAAATTTAGTATCCTATTCACAGATGATTTACTTATTCCCGTTTCATTTTCCATGATGCGTGTACTGGTGTTTGGATTTTTGGTAACACTAAGTAGAATACTGAGTTCATTTTGTTCATTTAAAGTTCGTTTTTCTCTATCATTTTTTTGATATGCTACATTACCTATACGTTTGAATCTTTCCAACAGATTTTCAAAAATTTCTTTTCGAGGTTATCGGCGATTAGGATATTTTTGCTTATAAATTCAAGTTGCCAACAAGCAATTTTCATCACTAGCCCCTAGCACTAAAATCATATCAGTCAATTCACTCGTTTCAAAATTCATTTTTAAATTAGTCAAATCAATAAATTTAAATACTTGTGAATACTAAATGTATTTTTATTTAAACAATTCGGAACTGTCAAATTATTCTTTTGACACGAATTTCAAAGCCCACTTGACCTAATGCACAAAAAAATTTTAAGTTATGTTAGCGTTTTCATTGCATTTTATATAAAAAATTGTAAAGGTCCCAAAAATAAATTCAGTTGATAAAAAATTGTACCAGATACCTTAAAAATATAAATTGATTAACTTGTAACTAGTATGTAATATTTAACAGGAGTTTAAATAAAATTACATTGGGAATTTGGTTATAATTAACCCTTTGTAACATTTCATCTAAGAGAATCTCTCTAAACTGTTGTGTTTAGGGATAGGCAATATTTAACTCAAACGAACGTATAATTAGAGTACTTTTTAGTAGTGATATGAAATACAGGGTGTTACATTTAAAAAAATTGAGAAAATCATGTATCTGAGTTTTGACTCACCCTCTACACGTATGTTGCGCTAGGAAAAAAATTAGTATATTCTTATAAAAGTAAACTATCATTTTAAATGATTCATCAAAAAATTTTGATGTTCGATTGTTTCTTTTGAAATATAAAGAGGGTTGAACCTAGTACGATTTTTACATAAAATTGGTTTAAACTTGCAAAATATCCAGTATAACCTCATACATGTTGGTATTTTCTTGAAGGGCAAAGTCAGGGGAATTCAAATTTACAATTAAATATAGGGTGGTCCATTTAAAAAAACATAGGTTAGATCAATTCTGAAGTTATGGATCACTCTGTATAATCGAAAATAATTTTGAAATGTACAGATTAATATTATCTACAACTTTTGTGAATAACATTGTTTGATATTTTCTATAATATATCGAACTTCCACACACTATTGCGACACCCTGTATATAATTTCTCTAAAATGGACCGTAATCAAGATATTTGAGAAAAAGTGCATATTATGAATTTTGAAGATAACTTAAAAACGGATAACGGAGGGTAAATTTAAGCTATAATCCATCCTGCGATGAATTGATTAAATTTTTAGCATATTTCGAACATCTAAGGGGAACTTATAGAAGGTAGTTTTTCTACTATTTGGAATATATCTGTTATCTTTGATTTTCACTTTTCCACATAATATATGTTTCAATCTTGCGTCGAACACCAACTTGTCTGTTCTTCTTAGCCTGATGATGGTCAACTAACCGAGACTAGAGAGACTTAAGTTTCATTTCTCCTTTACGGATTAAACCACATTTGTCTTACTCAAAATTAATAATAAAATATTATTTTTAGGTCTGTGAGTTGTACCTTATTACTAGTAGAGAGAGGGTTTCTGCAATACGCCATTAGCTACGCTTTAGCAGATCGATCATTTCAAAAAGAAACAATATCCAAAGTGAGCATTTATCTTTTTTTTAATAATGACTATTGCATTCGTTCATTGGTGACATATTAGAAACAATAACAATAGAATAGGTGGAACAAAAATTAGTAAAGACGGTAATATGGACACAACATTTTTTAAGAAAAAAAGAAAATCAGTTTTACTATCAAATAAATAAAACTAAATACAAAGAATGGACTTATAGTTTTACCAATTATTTACGGAAGCAAGACATCATCAATGACATCAAAGCAACAAGAAGACGTTAAAAGTTAGAAGCAACTAAAATGAAATACCTCAGGATAAAGAACTGCATAAACAAAAAGTCGGGCATTCATGAAATATAACTGAAATAACTAAACTTGAGTTGTTAACAGGTAGATAATTCAACAAGACATTATCGAAAAAAGATGTTAACTTTGCAGAATAAACCTACTGTTAATTCATTGGATGAACCTGGTAAAGATGGATTCTATAACAGCCTTGTGAGAGGAGTATATTGTCCATTAAATCAAATACTGACGAACAGCACAATGTTTTATTTATTTATTTATTCGACAACAAGAATGAGAACACAAAAATTATTTACATATTTACTAAACCACTTATTTGTTTGTAGAAAACTCAAACTTCTCGGTAGTAGTTACATTTTTAAAACGAAGGGAATTAATTGAAGAGTGAAAAAGAGTGTTTTAGCAATAACGATATAGGTACGCCGACTCTCAGGCATTCTGTCGTGTCAAAGATTGAAAATGGAGTGTGTAGCAAGATATGTTCCCAACCCCATGACATGTTGACTATTCGAAGTTTAAAATTGGAGTGACGATAAGCGAGAAAATAAATTGTACCGTCGCAGGCGATGCAAAACAACTTGTCGGTTCTTGTGTTTGAAGGGCGTGTCTACCATTTACATCAGCACGTGAAATTTTTCTTAAAAAAAAATCGATTATTTTCAATCAATCGACTATTTTAAATAAATCTACTTTCTTTTTGTATTCCATTTAAAATCGATTATTTCATTATCTTAAAAAACGAAAATAATTTATTGAAAATGTTCGATTAATCGAAAATAATAGATTAATTATACCGGATAAATCGATTTTCATAATATAATAACAGAATAATCGATTAGTGGATTATTTTTATAACCCCTATCGGTCGCTTGCTTTTATCCCAGCATTTAGCTCCAAAATTTAGAGATTCGGATTTTTTGATCTCGTTATCTTTGAAACCACATTCGATTGTATAATAAATAATATAATTGCTAAAATTTAGATTTTTTTTAGTAAATTTTTTTTTTCGAGCTGTTTAGGGGTTTATAATGTAACAATTTATTAACAATGTAACTAACTCCCGTAACATTAGTATTTTAATTGCATATACTAGATCATATTGTTCGTTTTATTTTGTTTTAAGATTCAAATGTCACTTCCGATTTGAATGTAAATAAGATGAATCTTGAAATTTTAAGTAAGTCATTCTGTATTTCATCTAATATTCTTATAAAAATATCTTATAAAAATAAAATTTCGTTAGCAACTATGCTTCTTTACATTTTATTTATCTACCAAAAAGGGCTAAAAATAACCTTTAATAAATATTCTTATAAAACTACTTTTTAAAATCAAAATTTCGTTGGCAACAATGCCTATTTACTTCTTATTTAAATTAAATGTTTAAAATTTTGCCCTTTTGTAAATTTATGTATTATGAAATCTGTTTTCTGAATTATGTGTTTGATGCTTAATATTTATTGAAACTCATTAATTCGGATCTGAAGTATTCAGCCCAAAGGATCATGGCGGCTTTATGTCAAAACGTTAATAAATATTTACCGCTAATAACGAATATTTATTATTTTTCATAACATTGGCACTTACATTTTTTGTATTTCACGATACATACATGGCATTTTTAACTTGAAATTAATTGAATAATTGAAACATTTTAAATTGCTAATAACACCAACAAATAATTGAAAAAACGGCGGTCCATGATGATTTACTAACGCGGAGATGAGCGTAGAATAGAAATGTTGGATTAATTCGGGTGGCGTCGTGGAAACAATGATTTTTAATTGGTGGGTTACTTAAGATTGGAGTAGACAACACGTGATATGTGCAATGTTACATCTTCGGTCTCTTTATTCTAAGGGTTTAGTACACTACATTTTTATGCAAAATAATAAATAAAAAAGACTGACTAGTACAAAATTAACGCTAAAATATTAAAATTTTGAAAGAGTTTTAGCAACTCTTTGACGATTATAACATTGCTTCTAAGGGAAGTCATCTCCATATTATTCAACCTCATTAATACACATGAGCATTGTTTTAGTTAGGGAAAGCAATTATTGATATTCTATTTCTATTGATTAAATTATAGCTGAATTCGGCAAATCAGGTTGATTCACTCCAATGGATCTTTATCGTTATTTGACAATTTCAAATTACTCATGCGCAAAAAAAGCGCGGGAATATTGAATCTAGTAATTTTCCGAACAACTTAATAATTGTTCCCTTTCTTATGCTTGCCACAGTTTATGGCTAAAGAATCAGTAAGCTCACTCGGACCAATTGGATGTTACAAAATAACATCCACTCCAGGGATACAAATTCAGGATGCGCAGAAGACTGCTGTTTAAATATAGGCGATTGTCATATATTGTATCGGTTATAGTAAGAGAGCCCACTGCAAATTTCTATCGTCATCTGATAACGAAATGAAATATTCTCCAAAGGCATGTAACAACATTGTACTTTACCAAATTGCACCTGTGCCATTCCCTATCCTAAGCAAAGTGGATAAAAAAAATTATTTTATATTCAAAAAATCACATAAGACATGACAGCGACAATTGTGTTTGCCCTGAAAATTACAATCCTAATACGCCAGCTTAGTGTAATGTCATTTTGGTTCCACTGACATTGAATTCTAACCAAATATCAAATAGTGCATTATTCCCTAATTATAATTTCAGTTATTTATTCCTTAGAATACTAGTCACTTTTGTACTTATTTTAAATATACATTTGTTAATTTTTTAATACTTATTATTAATCTCTCCTCCCTTTTTCAAAATCAGGTAAATATTCCAAGCATTTGAGAAGCCTCGCCTTTTCTATTCTCTTAGGACTAAAAGAGTCTTAAAAGAACCGCCTGACTATGCTATTAAGGGATAATTTTTTAAATTTAATTTTTTCCAGGTCCCTTTGGCTGGTGACAGTGCTGCCTTACTCCCTTAATAGTATATTAACAACAGTAGCAAAAGACCTATCAGTAGTTACAAATGGTCTTTAGGCTAGTTGGTTGTTACATTTAGTGAAAAGTGGTGATCTTTAGGCTTCCCGGTTATTACAGTACAGGGTCTCGCACTACATTGGGTCGTTCTCTTGTTCTTCCCTAAGTTTGGCAGGGGCCCACTCATCGTTCTCTACAGTTGTTCTTAGTAGTTTACTTTCTTTGGATTCTGTTCTGTTGTAGTGAAAGCACTCTGCCGGGCACGGTCTTCTAGAAAGAGAATCGGTATTTCTGTGGCATATTCTGGCTCTATGTTTAATCTTAAAGTTATACTCTTGAAGTCGTTCAATCCACCTGGCGATTAGGCCTTTCGGGTTTTTGGACTGCATCAACCACTTAAGGGCTGCATAATCGGTACGGATTAAGAATTTCTTTTCAATATCGGTATTGGTAGAAGTATTCCACTCATTTCACAACTGTCAGGAGTTCTCTTCTCGTGACGCAGTAATTTCGCTCAGGTTTCGAAAGCATTTTACTAAAATAACCCAGTACTCCTTCTTTTCCCATTTAAATCTGTTAAAGCACTCCTCCATTCCCCACATTACTGACATCAATATCCAGAATAAATTCTCCCTCTGGTAGTGGGTAGCCTAGTATTGACGCTGTTGTTAAATGAGTCCTGTTAATGGCTTAGCAATATCTGTAAACTTCCTGATGAATTTTCGATAGAAAACTTCTTATTTGATGTTTATCAGTTGGTTGTGCCCACTTTTCGATAGAAGCGACTTTTTCATAATCACACTATCCTTGCTGACTATGACCCAGTTAATTAACTTTGTTTTGAAATAGTTGGCACTTTTTGGGGTTTAGCATTAGTTGGGCAGCTTGAAGTCTTTTAAAACCTTCTTCTAAATTTTTTAGATGTTCATCAAATGTCTTCCCCAATATTTGGTAACATTGTTCAACATTGTCCAACTGACGGTAATCCACACAGAACCTCGTAGTTCCATCCTTTTTGTGTACCTGGACGAATGGGCAGGAAGAAGGTTGTATTAGCCTGTTTTCCTCCATTTCCAGAATAATTCTTTCAGTTTCCTCTCTGTTGGCTTTTGGTAATCTTCGAGCCGATTGACGAATCAGCCTGGCATCACCAGTGTCAATCTTATGTTTCACAACAGAAGTTCTTCCTATTTTTTCTCCTTTTGGTACAAAAAATGTCACGATATTGTCGAAGAAATTCCTTTATTTTATTTTTTCTCTGATTGATTCAGAGATTGACCAGCAGGAATCATTTGTTAGAATTTGTCGTTGGAAATATTAGAAGTTGTTGTCTGAAAAATTGTGGAAGTTACTGGTACACAAGTTCCGATTCTGGTCTCTTTCTTGATGGTAATTGGGTGATAATTAACGTTTATAAGACGGACTGGAATCTCTTTAGCAGTCGTGACCAACCCCTTTTCGATCAGAATTCCACGTCCAACCTCTTCATCGTGGTTCCAAGATTCCATCATGACAGGTGTTCCTTCTTCCAAAGTTTCTTGAAGCCGTGCTACTATAATAGTTTCACTTCTGCCAGGTACCACCGTATCCCCCTGTACAGCAACTGGAACGGTACTGTTTCTATATGGCACCAACTATGATTACTCGAATACACCATCACACGATGTGAAATAGAAAGATGGGGTTCTATTATTTTTAAAATGTTTCAACTGTTTGTATTCGTCCCCATACTTTTTAATAAATTGACTGCACCAGAAGATGGAAAAATTGCATTTTCCGAAACATATGTAGTGCTTAAAATATTAAAAAATTAAAACTATTACGGTCAGGAAATTTATCCTAATTCAAATATCATTTCAGATTTAATTTTCTATATATTTTTTTAATATCTATGCGCATTCGAATAAAAAACAAAGCATGAAACACGGACGAAAAGTTTTTTTTTTTCGGACTCGACTACATCTCGTCTGGTAAGCTTCTCGTAGTCGCCTGAAAAACACAACTTTTCGTCCTTGTAACACAAACTACTATTTCATTAATAAATAAATATTTTTTTTATTGACCATCTGTAACATTTATTTTGGCACTATTAATATTTATGTTTAGGTAGAAAATATGATGTTAGAAATAAAACAAGAGTTTTCTAACAGCGTAAAAAGTTTAACTTGGATAGATTCGAAAACGAAAGATGCAATTTTTGAAAAACTTAAGGAAATGTTCACGTTAATCGGCTATCCAAACTGGATGTTTGAAAAAGGCGAGTTGGATAAATATTATAAAAGTGTGAGTAAGAAAAGGAGTCACTAAATATATCTATATATAAGATTTCTTTTATAATTGGGTTTATTGTATTAATATTTCTATTTTTAGATTATTATAAAACCAGATACATTTTTAGAAAACATGGTTAATATTATAACATCTGATGCTAAAGAGAATATGAATTTGTTAAGAGAAACCCCAAAAAGGGATGATTGGTGCGGCAATCCTGCAGTTGTTGATTCGTATTATGTTCCGAGTAGAAATTCACTAGGTAAGTTAAAACAGTCTTTGTCCAATTGAAAAAACCTCAACATTTATTTATCTGAGGGAAAACAGATTACATTTATTAGTTGTTAAGGATACTGTTAAATCCTAGCTTTATTTAAGCTGTAGGCTTGACGTATACTGCCTTCGATCATGGTGGACTGTATTCAAATTAGATTACCTGGGGTGGAGGCCTTATGCTCCACCCTGTAGCCTCTGGAATATATTCTTAAAGTTCTAGTTGAAGCACTGGGTGTATTAAAAATAAAACCATCACCCTACATTTGATTTTGGTATATTCACTGCTTGATACGTTCACATTTAATACATTTACAACTTTTTGTTACATAGAATTATTGATAAGTTACATAGTCTTAACTTTTTATAAAATCAAATCGCAAAATGCTTGGAATGGTTACCGCCCATTGCCGGCTTTTTAATTTTTATTTTTTGACTTGTTGCTTGTTCGAAAGAGAAAGCGAAAAAGTGATTTTAGTTTTGTCCTGCGTTACTTCTCAACCCACAACGGTTTTATACCTTTCTTCTAATTGGCTCTCTTTACTCGTATGTTTTTGCACGCGAGACCATTGTTTTTAGTATCTGTCTTTTGATTGGGTGAAATGTCTCGCGTGATTATTTTTAACTGTATCTTGAGACGGCCATTGTCGTTGAAGGTTATTTAAAAGTTAAAAGGGGTTGATATTGATATTTATTGGTTTATACAGGGAGGGTCTATTTAGTATTTTATTCTTTTTTATTTCTTAAGTGCGGATTTAAGTTAGCAGATAGGACATGTTGAATGTAATTTCAACAGATACGTAAAATGGACTGTTTTTTAACCAGGAAAGAAAAATCAGTAGGTATTGAATTAAACTGTTTAACGATTATTGCATCTCGACGCTTTTATTTTTTCTCTTATACCTACAATAATTTGGACTTAGTCAGTAACATATTTGAAATTGGGTTGGTAATAAATGAACTTTAAAATAGACCAAAATAGCTTTAAAAAGAAATGAATAAACATTTCAAAAATTAAAAAAATAATATATTAACACTTATCACAGAGAAAACGCACATTGAAAAAATATTATTAACTTCATATTAGATCTAATAGAACATGAAAATAATAGCAATAACTTATTGTAATAGTTTTGAGCTTTAAAAAAATAATCCAATCCACTTTAAAATGTTTTCACGCACTATATAAATAAACTTTACACGAAAAAATTATACATCGCACTTTGAAACGATTCATCGCACTTTGAAACGATACATCGCAATTTGAAACGCTACATCGCACTTTAAAACGATATATCGCACTTTGAAACGTAATGGTTCTAACTTAATTTAATAAAACGACTCGGAGAGACAAACACAGACCCTTTTTTCTCCGAAATTGTACGATGATCGAGTGACATTTCGGTGCACTTGCTTAATTTCTTTTGGTTGCAAACACTTTTAGGGTATGTTAGTCATTTTGAAACAAGTAAAAAAGCCCATCGATGCGAAAAGTGTACCTCTCGGCATCTTTTATCTTTATCGGGTATAAATAAGCAGGTAAGGTTATGTTTGACTCAAAACACTGCGACCTCTTGGGTCTATTATATTTCCCTGCTTTCCCCGTATTCAGGTACTATCTTTGGAGTAGTCCTGTGTCTTTGTTTAGTTTTAATAAGTTGCCTACCAAGTGTTCCTGGGACGTTCTTTCCGGTTCTATGCCGAAAAGGATGAGACGCCGTCTAGTAAGAGCTCCGCATTCGAAGATCACATGGTATGAGGTTTCTTCCTCTTCCATTCTGAGTCTACACGTAGTGGGATCATTGTGTAATCCCATCTCATGACGGTATTTCAGAAAGAAGTGTCCCGTTAGTTATCCCAAAATGGTGGATATCTGAGGCATTGCGAGTTGTAGTGCCTCGCTAGCCATGCGTGGGTTTGGTCTCCTTAGCTTACTGATTCTGTGCCCTCTTATCTGTTGGCAGTATATTTGGTGTTTTGTGGTTATTCACCTGTTCACTGCCTGTCGAGCAGAGATTTTACTTATCTCAAATATAGATGAATGGTAGTTATGATCCCTCTTTGGCGAGTTCATCGGTCTTTTCTTTTCATTGGATACCTTTGTGCCCTGGTACCCACGCTAGTGCCCTCGGAATGAAAAGGAAAAGAGGGCGGCCAACCAAATAAAAAAAAAGGCTCTAATAATTCAATAGTTGTTTTTAATAGAAAATAGTCATTTTTTTCACATTTATTTCTTGTACTATTTCATAATATATATTTTAATAGTAATATAACAATTTTTCTGTATTTTATTAATAAACATATATAAATAGGTAGCATACCTACATGTTAGCAGATAAACAAATTTTGTGTGATTACTCATTGAAATATAATGTAAAGAACATTGGCAGTCAAAAGTGCGGGGTGCGGGAAGTGATGGCGGTGGTAGCTAGCCGTCGACTGCACTCTCCCGGGCAGAACGAAATGATGGGTCGCCTTGAGTGCTATAGTGAAATCAAGCTGTTGATAGTCACGCATTGTTCTATTTGACTTAATTATTGAAATTTTTTATTATCAGAAGGTGGGATTTGCTCACTAAAAGTACCACGGAAGTGCCTGGGGGTTCACTGTTCCTGTGAGTATTTCCAAAATTATTGATTGGTTAGATTTATTAGTTAATTGATTGTTTGAGATTGTTATTGGCCATATTGGCGATATTGGTGGTATTCCTTTGAAACACCGTCATCCTGTAGGGGTAAATAATTGTATGTAGCCGATAGAAATGGTATTTTCGTGTTAAAAAAAATGTCACTATGGATCTTATAGTTTTAAAAAAAAACTTACCAACCATCTAGCTCTCGAATAATATATAATATTTATTGATTTTGATAGTTTTTTTTTTTAAATAAATTTATAATTCAACTATTTGATAGATACCGGAGAAAAATGTAGAATGGCAATTGTAATTTAGAGCACTGATAACGTTAAAAGGTGCACGCAACATAACTTTTAAAAATAGTAAAATACCATTTAGAATTGAATGCAATGGTATAGGTTTCAAAATTTGTTTTTAATTTAATCGGTGTTAAAAATAATAATACATAAAATGAAACGTATTGAATGTCTATGTAAGAATGCTGTGCTCCTGTGCTTATCACCAAAATTCTTATGCGCCCGAGTCCAACGTATCGTTCTACGAAATATGAGTAGCACTCGTGAGACATGACAGGGTGGTCCTAGCCTAGCGATAAGCGTGGTTACAAATGTCTTTATTTGTAGCTTTTTAATTTTGGTAGAAATTCGATGAAAAAAAAAGTTTTCTTCATTAAAAGAAATTTATATTGTCTCTATCAATGACCGGCTGAGAGAAGCTTAGAAAAACAAAACGCAGAAAAACTTAAACATTTATTGTTAAATTTGTTTAAGTTTGGAAATAAATATTCAACAATACATACCACTAAGTAATAAATAAAGCTATCTAGTGACCAAGTCATTAAATTATAGCAGGAACGTTAGTGGGAAAATTGGTCAGGATGGACGAGCGCTCTTTCCAAATTACGATTAACTGTTATTTCTACCATTCGGAAAGTTAAGTACAGGTCAGGTTCAGGTTAATGTTGTTTTCATGTTACCATAAAGTCAAGTACAGGTCAGGTTAATCCCTGAGGAGTTCCTCTGAACTTCTCTACTGTTTTTATTAAGAAACAAAGTTAAGTAAGTTAAGTACAGGTCAATTAAATATCTGAGGAGTACATCTGAACTTCCATTTAAAGCTTTTGCTTTTGTGAGTAAAAAAAAAGTTAAGTTGAGGTCAGTTAAATATTTGAGGAGGAGTACCTCTGAACTTTAATTTAACGTTTTTTTGTGATTAAAGAAATTAAGTATAGGTCAGCCAAATATCTGAGGAGTACCTCTGAACTTATTGCTTTTATTTTGTCTGTTTAGCACAAATTTAGTGAAATCTGTTGAAATATTAAATATAGTATAATTGTTAGTATCGTGCAAGATTTATGTTTTATAATTGTGGTCTGGTAAATGGTATGACGAATTCGAGGATTCACAAGCACAGAAAAAATCGGTAAGTTGTACTGTCCTGGATGGGTGGTGTTAGCAAGAAATTCTTTTGTTTTTGGTTTTTCCTTTATGTTTTGTTGCCTAAATAATATATTAACTACCCGAGACCTACTAGATGACTTGCTTTTTAACCACGCGATGACAGGTGGTAAGCATTTCGTGACTAGTAGAGTGAAAAATGCTGGACGGATATTGTTGAAATCCGAGGAGCATAGCTTTTATTTTAGATGATTTAAAAAAATGCTGGACGGATATTGTTGAAATCCGAGGAGCATAGCTTTTGTTTTAAATGATTTAAAATTGAAAAAAGCTGGACGGATATTGTTGAAATCCAAGGAGCATAGTGTTTATTTAAAATGATTTAAAAAATATATATAAATTGAAAAATGCTGGACGGATATTGTTGAAATTTGAGGAGCATAGTTTTTATTTTGAAATTATTTTAAACATTAATTGAACAATATCGGACGGATATTGTTGATAGCCACAGAGCAGATTGTGTTTTAAATTATTGTAAAATCTTGAATAAAGTGTTATAAATTATAAGACATGGGGTGTTGTGTCACTTATTTAAAAATGCAAGGTTTTGCCTCGTCTCAGAATGTGACGAGAGGATGAGCACAAAACTTTTTCGAAATAATTGGCGTGAAAAGAATTTGGCGTCTGATCTTGTATTTTTTTTATTTTTACTTGAGACGTCTTTTCTATTTGTTTAATATTTTTATAATTTAAAATAATACAAATTAATAACCAGTTGTTACATAAAAAAAAGAATATTTCGAGAGCGAAATATAGATCAGTATGGCCGTGTTAGCAGGTAAACAAATTTTGTGTGATTACTCATTGTAATATAATGTAAAGAACATTGGCAGTCAAGAGTGGGGGGTGCGGGAAGTGATGGCGGTGGTAGCGAGCCGTCGACTGCACTCTCCCGGGCAGAACGAAATGATGGGTCGCCTTGAGTGCTATAGTGAAATCAAGCTGTTGATACTCACGCATTGTTCTATTTCTTAATTATTGAAAATTGTTATTAAACACATTAATACTTTTCTTAAAGTTTAGTATCGATCCAAAGTGGGATCCTATTATTTTATAGCGGGTAATTATTTAAAATATACCTAATCCTAAGTGCAATTACTGTATCGTTTTATAGTGGGTAAGTTTAAAGTTTCAGTATTCCGAATCCAAAGTGCGATTGTATCATTTTACAGTGGATAAGCTCAAAGTTGAATTTAGATAAATGCAAAGTTCAATTCTATCATTTTATAGTTTGTTATTACATACTTGAAAGAATTTTTTAAAGTGAAATTATATACCTCTTTGAAATTGCCACATCTCAGATGGAATGTCACTATCACTCATAATCCATCTTAAATTATCGGAAATCGGTAAAACGAAAGTAATTGGTTGAAAGTTGAAACTTCAAAATAACTACATAAAATTTATCATGGTTACGAAAGTCAAAGTAATGTTGATTGGAATTTTTACACTGCAAAAAATCGAAATACAACAAACTTTAAATTTCATTGGACAAAAAATATTGTTTGTATTTGTCGTGCTAAAATACAGGCAATCGAATTGTATGCAAGAGAGAATTTAAAAAAAAAAACTACAAAAACAAATCATCTTAATTCTCTCAGACAACCAAACAGCCTTAAAGGCTCTTGGATCAAACATATTCAAATCAAATCTGATCTGGACTACCTTGGGATACTTATTGATCTGTCAACCCACAATAAAGTGAAATTAGCACAAATACCAGGAAGTATTCAAGAAAACGACTGATGAGCTCGACAAAGAGGGATCACAGGACCCGAACCTGTATTTGATATGAGCAAATTATCTGCTCAACAGGCAGTGAATAGGTGGATAAGCAGTAAACACCAAGCTCTCTGGCAACATATTAGAGAATAAGTAAGATCATGCTAAGAAGACCTAACCTACGCATGTTTTCTGAGGCAATACAGTTATTAACCATCGTGGGATTACTAACAAGACACTGGAGCACCTCATGTAATGATATCACACAGTGATCCCATCACATATAGACTCTGCATGGAGAAGGAAGAAATCTCATAACATAATATTCGAATGCGAAGCTCTAGCTAGGCGGCGACATACCCTTTTCGGTCTAGAACCGAAAAGAGCGCCTCAGGAACACTTGATAAGGAACATAGAAAAACTAATCAAAGACATTGAATATAAAAAAAGCAGAGAAATAGAATAGACTCAAGAGGCGGCAGTCTTCTGTGCTAAATCTGACCCTACCTAATTCAGAAAGTACTAATAAATTTGTACGGATCTGTAAATCCTTAAAGAGAGAAAAGTCAACGTTAAGTCCGAGAAAAGTAGAGTTGGACGATACTGTTATTTTTAAATAACAATGAGAATCGTTGATGTGATTAAAATCAAATAAATGAGGTATGTTTTTCAAATCATTAATAAAAATTAATTATTAGTTGATATTTTTTTGGAAAGCATATATAAATCTCAACTTACCAATATTTAAAATATGAGTAATTAAATAACAGTGTGTGAAATATCATTTCAACTCTAGTAGACATTATAGTTTACAGTTCTTTAATTTTACAGATACGTTTAGAAAGCGGTTGTTGATTAGGCCGTAATACTTTTGCGGACTGGGCAAAAGGACGTAACAAAAATTTTTATGTGTTGGAGCATTGTTTCAAAAAGGTATATAATAATTTTTTCCTCAGAAAGATTACCAAAAAATAAGTAAATTTAGCTATCTTTACCTATATTAAAAACTGGCTCCTAACAAAGTTACAGGACGTTAAACTAACATTCAAAAAAACGTTTTCTTTTTGTAAAAAGTTTGCTGTTGCGATTTTTTCTTTAAATTTTTTGCCAGTGCTGTAGATTTGAAGGTCCAATATTCTAAGGAGAAAAAAAATTAAAGCGACCCCCTTAAGAAAAAGTTTGGGGGTTGGGTACTTTTAACCTTCTCGTATTTTTTTACATAAAGAAACTTGCTTTATCGATCTTAAAATCAAAAAGAACTATGAATTTTTAATTTTTTTTTATAGTAAAATGAACTTTGTATCTCTCTTAGTTAACGAAGTATTTACAATTTTTTAACTGAATTTCTAGAGCAATTCGTCCGTCCTCGACTAAATATATCAATAAAACTAAGAGTAGGCCAGGAGTTATTGTACAAAAACGCATACAAAAATCAGTGGTGTGCCTAGGGCTGTGCTTGAGTCGCCCCTGCAAAAACTACCTCTTTTAGTTATATTTTTGTATTGAAGAAGGAGGAGGACATGTTGAACATTTACTAAATTAAATAGTTTATAAAATATGTATAATAATTATTTTCAAGTATTTATTTTTAATTGTTAATTTTTTGTTAATTGTTTAATTAAAAAAATAATCATTTTAATTACTATTAAATTTAATAAATACATTTCCAAACTAACGTGTATTTTTATCAGTGGCATGGTGAACCCATGAGGACGGGTGACACACCATTTTTGTGGCACCAATCCAATATTATAAATATCTTTTTTACAAAAATATGAATAAAAAAGGTACCTAGTTTTTGCAGGAGCACAGCCCTAGCCCTAAGCTACTCTTAGTTTTGTTGATTTATTAAGTCCAAGAAACTAAGAAAAATACAAAGTTCATTCCACTATAAAAAAATTAAAAATTTAAAGTTCTTTTTGATTTTAAGATCGATAAAGCAAGTTTCTTTATGTCAAAAAAAAATACGGGAGGGGGTTAAAAGATACCCAACTCCTCAATTTTTTTTAATTAGAATATTTCAAAGAAAAAATCGCAACGTTTTTCTAAATGTTAGTTTAACGCCCTGTAACTTTGTTGGGAGCCGGTTTTCGATATAGGTAAATATAACCAAATCCACTTATTTTTTGGTAATCTATCTTAGGAAGAATTTATGACATACCTTCTTGAAACACCCTGTATATAACAGATATGGCTAATCGATTTTTTTAACTAGTGCGTAAAGAAAATATATTATGTTATTGTGTTTGCTAATAACTTGAATAGTAGAAAATATTGTAGGTACATGGATTTTCTAAAGTTCCATATTTTTATTCATGTTATTCACATTCATTGGTCTTACACAATTAAATAGCTGAATTGGTGTTAATATGTAGGTAAGCGTGTAATTATCTCGCAAATACATAATTTGTTTGTTTTAGATATATTAATGGGTATTATACATTTTCCACTTTATAATTTAGGACTTGAGTAAGTCGGTTATTTTTAAAATTAAATAAGTGTATTTATTTATTAAATATTTTTCAGGGCTTTAAATTACGGTGCAATCGGAACCATTTTAGGACATGAGATGATTCATGGATTTGATAACAACGGTAAGTATTGGTATGGAGTAATCCACATCAAAAAATGTTTCTAAAGTAGCTTTGGAAAATTAGAAAGATATTGCAAATTTCAATAATATCATAGTCCAGGATCCGTAAGTAAAGTCGACTCAGTACACCTATTTTTATGTTACGTTGTGAAGCATTATTTTTAATAAAATTTATATACCATTTTTTTACTTTTTATGTATATAAATTAATAATACATTAACCTTATATTATTCTGTACTGAAAAAAAAAAATATTGGTGGCCCTTAGAAAAAGTGCCTAGGGGCCCTTTTATTGTAAATCCGGCATTTAGTATTTCCATTTGTTTCAGGTAGAAAATACGATAAGAATGGAAATAAGAAGCAATGGTGGACCAACCAAACTATAAAAAACTTCGAAAATTTAACCGAGTGCTTTGTTAAGCAGTACGAAGATTTTATAGTACCAGGTGTAAAAGAACATGTATGTTTTTTTTTTACAATCGCTTTACAAAGTAGCCTTCGGCGCTTTTTAAATGACGTTTTCAGATGAATAACTACTTAGGCGCAAAATGGTTTTATCTCATTTTTTAAGTAAAGTTCAACGGATTCGTTTACTCACTTCCTAATGAATTGCTAATATCCACCATCTCCTTCAACGACGACATCTTTGTTTTAATTAGGCTTTAAAACATTTAAATAGTTATACAGTGTAGGCTATTATTCGTTTCCTACGCGCGCCAATGCTAATTCTCTGTAGTTTTTAGTTTAGCGAGGCGTATTGGGAAGTGTTCAATAGTTGATACTATAAACAGTTCGTTAACCGACCCAAGCAAAATAAAGACGAAACTCTTATCATATTATCATATTTGAACGTGAGAGGGATAAAAAGAGTAATTGTTTTACCTACGCCCTTTTGATGACAAGGATGGGATATTGCGACGTTTTATTCTATTTACCTCTATTCAATAGCATTGTGCTTCTATACTGAGGAAACATAGCGCTAATTCTGGAACTTATATCAAAAGAAATTGAAAGCCTGCATCTGTTTTAGCAAGAGCATTGTAAAGGGATCTGCACCGGGCATTGCCGACTTAAAATTCACCTTGGAAACTAAGATTAGTTAAAGATAGTGTGTACAGATTCTATGAGGAGGAGGACGAAATATCCATTTACGCTGACTGAATGTGTAGCACTCCATACTATACCACAGGAGGTTAGTATTAGAATGTCACCATGCTTTGGCCGATACTTAGGCCAAAGCAATGTGGTCACCTTGGATGGATCAGAGGTCACACCTTTGAAGACTAAGTCACGCCACATGAAAAAGTCTTGCTGATTCACCAGCCAAAATAAGAATAGCATATACTCTATACTCTAATTATAGCCCTAAGGACTACTTGTGTTACTTGTTTGTCATTAGTTGATAGAGATCACATACTTTGATTAAGTATGTGATAGAGCTTGTCAAATATGATAAAATATCAATAAGGATATTATTGTGTTCATTGAATCGTATTATAAACTACGAAAGAACGAAAGAACCTACAAACGCCAGAATTGCTAATCTTGAAAAGTTGGCCACGTTTACGCCCGATATGATGCAAGCTCTTTTATCTAGAAACGCGAATACGCCAGGAAAGGATAAAAGAACATCATTACAGCCAGTAATGTTAAATAATATACCACGAAAGTGAAAATAGCAATTAGTAAGATTCCACGAGTTCAAGCCACAGCTCTGTATGATTATCAAATGCAGTTCCTTAAAAGCTACATAACCTTCCAAAACGTAGAAAATGCGTCTGATAAACAAATTCTAGGAATACTTTTTTAACCAAGACATCTCTAATAGTATAAGACTAGTGAAACAATTCGAGAAACACATCAAACTGTATAGACCTGTTAGATAAATGAGAGTATTATTTTAAAAAGAAAGAGAACAACAGCAATATAAGCAGTAAATGTATGTCCAGGGCCGCAGAGAGCCAGATCGGGCCCCGAGACAATTTTCCAGGTGGGGCCCTGCGACAATTTTATAAATAAAATTAAAAAAGTCCTCAAGTAAAAACTTCTCCTCCTTTTTAATGAAATCTGTAAAAAAAGTACTCGTCTTGTATTTTACGTAAACCAGCGGTCCTCACTTTTATGGCGAAAGAGCCCGGACTCCGGGAATTGGTCTTGTGTATGTCCAGAAAGGAGAAAGGAGAATGCTATTCCTCATTTTATAGCAAATAATTTAAAACTTTTTCAGCTAACTGATCCATGCTCGGTTTGTTACAATATATGTCTTGCTGATCATATATCATTGAATCATTATCGGAAGTTAATACGTATATAAGAAAGAAATGTAGAGCTCTACCTGAGACCGCAGGTGTAGAAGACATTGTCAAGCTTAGTGAATCTGAGGAATCAGCATCAAACGAAGAAAATCTTTGTAATAACAATATCGCTAAAATTAAAATAAATAACACATAAAGCGAAGACTTTGATAAAAAAAATTGTGTAAGATTTGGAAACGGAAGGAACAAAAATTTTAAATGTCCAGCGAAAGGGCCATTATACAAAATGTTGCTTATTAAAAGAAGTCCATCCATAGAAACCGTATCTGGAAGAAGTTGGCGATTATGCAAACATAAGGTTCCTAAAAATTGCTTCTATTGAGAATACCAAAAATTGAAAAAAAAAAAAAAATTCTGCGAAAGGGGTGGGATATTAGAAACAATATTTTGCAGGTATGTACCAGTGGCCATAGAGTACTTAAAATTGTAAAAAAAGTTGGGTTATTCCATTAAAAAAAAATAAGTGATTTACCTAATTTACTATTGGGCCACCCTACCCTGTACACAAGAAAATAATTTTCGGATATTTGGTTTTGACCCTCACTGACAGGTATACGTCAAATAAATTGATAAGATTTGCATAGTAGGAGTTATAGAACTACGATAGAGGTTTGGCCCATTCTGTATAGTTATATAGTATAGATTGCTCAAGGCGGGTCACATAGCGAGCGGCCATATTGCCTCGAAAGAGCTCATTAATCAAAATCGATTTAACAGAAATGTGTCTAAAAACCAAATTATATTAGACTTTAAATATAGTAAAAAAAAGTAATTACCTACATTTTTCAAGGCTTATGTTTATTTTGTATATATGTAATTGACCCTGTCAAATCCATCGGGCCCTTGGGCCACCATTTTGTTTTTGGGATATCTAATAGGGTTACTGTTTTAGGTTAATGGAAAATTAAGTCTTGGTGAAAATTTGGCAGACAATGGTGGCTTGAATCAAGCATTTAAAGCATACACAAATTACATACGTAAATACGGAAAAGAGCCGAAATTGCCTGGTTTTGAAAATTACAATAATTATCAATTGTTTTTTATTGCGTACGCAAATGTAAGTAATCCTATTATTTTTGTGGTAATAATGTACCTACCTACGTAAATGATATTTCTGTAGCATTGGTGTACAACTACAAATGCCCAAGATTTGAAGGAACGACTTCATTTCGATGTACATAGCCCGCCATTTATCAGAGTTTTGGGAGCTCTTCAAAACTCAGAATCTTTTGCCAATACTTTTGAATGTCCAGAAGATAGTCCCATGAATCCAAAGAAAAAATGTAAAATTTGGTAGATACCTACTTATAAATAAAACTTTCGTTTTTTGTGAAAATATCTCATTCACACAGTTGAGATTATATTATAATACTGTACTGGACTTTTGGTAAAGTGTTTCATTTTTATCCAGAGTGAATAAAATTTTTGAATATTTTGTTTTTTTTTTTTATTGAGTCGCGTACATACTCAGACGAAAGTCTAATTTATTTAAAGTATATTTATTTAAAAAAACTATTTACAATTTATTTCAGACGTACTATTTAATTTATATATAATATTTAGATACTAACTAACAATTCTAATTTATTTCTTACACTTTAACTTTTCAATACAATGCTCTATATTCAACTAAACGGGGCGCTGATACGTCTGCTATTTATATTAGTTCAACTTTTCTACTGGAAGATACGAGAGGCTCTCGAACATTCCTTTTTATGACTAAGCGGCACTGTCCGCCATTCCAGTCGCTTCCAGTGCATCAGCGGCAGACATTCCGTCGTATTCTTGTACATTCGAGATGCGGTCCGGCTGTTTTCACACGTCAGCGTTGCTTCGATCACGAGTTGATTGCGTGCGTATACAGGGTCGGATTAGGAATTCATGACAATACCTATTTCAACATTTTTCGAGCAATATTGTTTACGAAAAAATGCATGCATGCACTTTTACTCTTTACTTAGTAATAAGTTTAGCAGCAATGAACACAGAAATTTCGGTGCCTTGGGCTTAGGTCGACTTGCACTTCCACGAATCTATAATACATTATCGGTGTCAAAGTAGGTCGCCTTAGCGTCCCAGGTTCCGACGAACAGGAGCAACGGCTCTCGATAACATTTTAATCAAATTATAACGGGAACAAAAGATTAGTATCCTACCGGTACAGTGACACCTGCTATCACCAACGACATTGTAACAACCATAGGTCTCTAATAAATAGTTTTTAGGGGCAGCACTGTTACCAGCCATAGGGTCCTGGAGTCCTAAAGAAATATCCGTTCTAACGGATTAAAAAATAAAAGAAAAATAAAAATCCCTTAACATATTTGAATGGTTTTGGCAATTGGTTAAAGACTGTGGTAGTCCTTAGGGGTTAGGAACGCCGAGGCATCACAATTGCTTGGAGTATTTTCATAACTGGTTTTAAAAAGGCAGGAGAGAAAAATAGGGTGGGTAGGTAATCGACTACAAAAAAAAACATGAAGAAACAGTGTATATTTAAAAGAATTACACAAAATCTAATACTCTAAAGATAAATGCACAATTTTGATTTAGGGAGTAAGCAAATAAACTACTACGGTAGCACATTATTCGATAACATGTCCAAATCTTTTTAATAATGACTCAAAGACAAAACAACGCAGGACAACATGGTATACAACAAAATAACACAGACAAAGCAGCGCAGGACAAAATAGCGCAAGGACAAAATAGCGAAAGGAACAATAGCGCAAGCCCAAGATAACGCGTAACGAACATACTGTTTTTTAATTAATGTAATTCATTGAAATGATGCGTAACAAATACTGTTCTAACGACGCCTATACGGTGAATGTTTGGAGTGTAGCTCCTTGTCTCTCACATTTTAGGATCCGATCCATTTTAACGCAAAACAATTTCGCGCAGGACAAATTTGCAAATAAAACTATCTGCACCCCTTCCCTTTAGTAGTTACAGCAATTTCTTTAGCGTGAAGTTACCCCCCCAAAGAAGGTTTCGCAACAAAACTATTGCACTACTATGCACTCATATGCACAACCAATTAAACTTTTTGCACACCCTCTCTTTAGTAGTTATAGCTGTTTCTTTACCGTGAAGTTAGACCCTCTCAATGAAGTTTTTGTAAAAAAAATATTGCAAATTTTTTTGCCAGTACTCCCTTTAGTAGTTACAGCAATTAATTTAGCGTGAAGTAATCCCCCCCTCAATAAAGTTTTCGCAAAAAAAAACTATTTCACCAGTATACACTCCTGATGCACTCATATGCACCCCTAAAAAAACTTTTGTAGTCCTTCATTTAGTAGTTATAGCTGTTTCTTTACCGTCAAATTAGCCCCACCTAATATTTTCGCAAAATATATTGCACCGGTATGCACTCCTGATGCACTCATATGCATCACCAATAAAACTTTTTGCATCCTCTCCTTCCAGTAGAGACAGCAATTTCTTTACCGTGAAGTTAGCCCCAAAATGATGTTTTCGAAAAAAAAATATATTACACCGGCATGCACCCCTAATGCACTAACATGCACCACTCAAAAATCCTCTATTTACCTTTAAACCCGGTCATACATTGCAAAGAAACGTAGCGCCGTAGCTATTTCGTAAAAGAATCGACATGCATTGCCTGGTGCGCTGTTGCCAGGCTGTGTAGTTTATTTCCTTTCATATTTAAAAATAGTTTTTACCTATAACTCACTAATAGCAACAAGTTTTATTAATTAGAATATTTTCGAGATATATTACCACACATCAAGCGTCTCCACCAATTCATTTTCGTACCTAGTGGAGTGTTTCCCACTGCGACGCATTGTGAACAGAGTTGTCGCAATATTTACCGTAACATTTCTAATAGTAAGTATCTTAATAAAATGACTTGTAACAAAACAAAAACGTATAAAATGTGTACAAAGTACATTAACCTATTGTAACTGCTTTCAGCAGACTTGATATTTTACCTGCACCTATTTTTAGGCCATTATGCAGGGCATTTTTGTACCTATCGTTTTTACATACATACGCCTGATAAATAACAACTACTAAGTTAAACTACGGCAAACACCATTATAGGCCTGCAAATAAATGCATGGATTTTAAAAGCGTTAAACGTGTCAACACCGCAATGGAAAATAATCTTGTGTCATTCATACTATACGTCACGTATAGTTTTTTATCTATCGATAGTTTGCGACGTTGCGTTACAGTAAATTGTTCCATATCGGGTGTTTTTGTTGATTTTTATACTTTTTTGGAAATATTTCGGCTTATAGTTTTAGTGTATAGCTAACAACATTTTTCGCGAATCGCTAGTGCATTTTGTGCAAAAAACTGGATAATGTGAGTGCTGAAGTGTAAATTTAAAATTTCATTCATTAGGTACCTACCCAATACAAAATGGTTTACCTGTTATAAAATCAAAAAATGGTGTAGATAAACGTCGTAAATGAGAAGATAAACAATTAAACGAATGTCTAGTTACATTTTACTTATAAATACTTATAAAAGAGGTATAATATACTTAATCGAACTAAAAATAAATTTCAAAAATATTATATTTTAGGTTTCCTTTGTACCTGATGACATTTTAGGAATTTTAGAAGCAAAAGTAAATACTACAGACTTGTCTAAAGAAGAGTATATAACGCCTGAAATTTTATAAAAAGTGAATCTACAGCTAGGTACATGGCACGTCTATATTGAAAAAAAAAAACATCTAATCATCAGTTCAAGTACAAACCTAGTAGAAAAGTTGAGAGAAATCACAGAAGATGCCCTCAAGCATACATCAGAACACCTTGCTAAAAAACGAGTTGTTTTTATAAAATATGCATACCTAACTTGGAAATCCATAATCAAGCATAAAATTTGTAAAATTAAAAAAAAATCAATACACTAACATGGGTAGTTTTATTTAAAACAACAAAGTAAGACAAAAATATCTAAACTTAAGCATATTTTTTAATTTCTATATAATTTCCTTTAATAATAGTTAAACAAGTAGGTCAATCTCTTTTTTATTCAATATGTTGTGGAAAAGTAAAATATTTTTATATAAAAATATAATTTATCCTCTTCTAATAAATTGTCATATATTTATGTTACATTATAGCGTAAATAAAAATATTTCCAAGCCACATGGAGTTACAATAAAATAATGTTTGTTCACCTTTGCATAAATAATAAACTAACAAAATTAAAATATATAAATATCTACAAAAAAAAATAGGCTTGATTTAATAAAGATGGATATATCTCTGCGAGTACAGGTAAGCAATCTGGGAACTCGGCTCATTGTTCTATTATATTCACAGATCTAGTTTTTTTAGCATCATACAATTGCCATCTTGAAACATACCTTATATAAATATACGTTTGTACAATCATTCACTGTTTAAGAGCAATCCAGTTCCTTCTGACGTCACACCGCACGAATCTCACGAGCTCCCTTTAAAGTATTTGGAACCTTGTTCGCTACATAAATTTGGCAATGTTGTGTGTCGTACCCTGAAGGGTATGATTACAATTCAGGTATAATTCGTTGGCTATCGCCGCCTACTGGGGGTTAGTGGCTTGTTAATACACGAATGTAGGAATACTATTTTTAAATCAAACATCTCAAATATTTTTTATTTATTGATAGTTATAGATGATATACAGGGTGTCCCGAAATTAGACGGTCATATTTTAACAGCGTAATCTACATCCTAAAATAGTAGTAAAAGTTCATATAAACAGGTTCGAAAACTTTTCTTTTCCGAGATACAGGGTGTTAAAGGTGAAGTCCTGATACCACACTTTTGTAAATATTTTCTAAACGTTTACAGATAATTAGGTAAAATTTGTTACAAATACTTACCTTTTTTCGCTTCATTTATTGGACTAAACCCCAGTTATTGATCATCTTCTTAGGTAAGTAAATTAGGGGGAGCTTAGGGTAAAATTGCCGTGTGTGTCTGTGTGTCTATATTCACCATAACTTGTAAGAGGTTTTCTCGCCTCAGAGAAAACGGTTCCTTACGAATGACGCTGGTTACGGACGGTTCTCGAGCGCCAGATTTTTGGTGATGGTTTACTCCACAAACTCTCGAAACAGCGTCGAAAGTACTCGGGCAGCACAGATGGAGATGAAAAATTCCAGGGGTCAAAGGTTACTTAGACTCAAATAATTAGTAGCCACAAATAATGGGCTTTAATCACTACTTGTGGTTGCAAAGAATTTTTCACTGCTGAAAAATAAGGGGGAAGTAAATTGGTGATCAGTAAACTCAGTAATAGTCACGGTAATTTTGACACATATATTGATTTTAACTATATACACTAAAAAAGGAAAATAAAATATTTCAACGCCCACCCTCGGTAATGAAACCCTGAACAAATAAATGAAGCAATGGCAAAACGGTAACGAACGGCTGATATAG